ACAATGCAAGAGGTTTTCAATCTTAATAAACCTACAGTTCATCCTTGATAAATTCAAGTATCTTCAATTTCTAATTTATATTTTAAGCATGACGTGAAGGGCATAACACAGACGTATTCACAATTCACATATCGTTTCAAGTTTCAACAAATCAGTAAAATCCGCTATCGCTTAGATGGATATTGCTGGAATATTGCTAAAACGGCGTAAAACCATACTCACTCTCTTGATTGTCTGGTTAGTTTACAGGCCGCAGTCGTATGGCAGGAATACTGCTGTTCGGCTCCAGGCAACAAACAGACCCTTCTTCATCTTATGCAAAGTGTGTGAATCTGTGTCGGGGATTAATCGTCACACGTTATTCTCTGGAGTCAAATAGCATATTTCAACAGCACATCCACAGTTTGGAGCAGAACATTAAACGTTTCTCCCGATGGTCCACTGACAACGTATTTAGGCATATATTCTTATCTGAGACTAATAATTTCAGGACATATTAATAATACGAGATATTCACCTTCTTTATGGCGGTTACACAATATACACGCTGTCTTTTCAATATCAAGTGTCTTAGAAAATCCTGCTTCTCGAATATCAAGATCATGTAGCAGTACAGATTTCATTGACGTAAGATATGTCTTTGAATTCAATATACTAATTTACACAGTTTAACTCGTAATTAATTGAACCATTATTGTTGCTAAATGTCTACATCTTGTGCAAGCAAGACGTGAAGTAATATATTGCGTACAGAAGACATTTAGTACATCACAGCATCTTCTAGAGCATCGTATTGATGACTGTCTACAGTTAATAATATCCAGTATGGCATACCTATACTGCCAACATAAACAGGCAACATGTCAAGCAAATGAAGCAGCAGATACATGCAAGGTTTGATAGTAATCGGACAAGCGGTTACGGAGCAAAAGGGCGAAATATATCTTCAAAAATACTTGTTTTTCAGCTATTTTGCTAGCTCTGGTAAAAACAAACAGCTGAATAATCAATAATAACACTACTAATTTTCATCGAACGATTATAATAGGGCTCTTGCCTTTCAGGCAGGGAGTCCAAATAAGAAATCGTTATTTTTGCGATTGTGGCTGTTTTGACCCCTGGATCGGTTATCAGGACTAAAAACATTTTCAAAAATTCAAGGTCACCAAGGTCACGGGGTCAAGGTCATTTAGGTAGCCTGTTAAACGAAAATGTACTTTTGGGGGCGAGCTCAGACGCGACCGTCGTTGCCTGTATGATGGAAGCAATTGTTATATATTTTTACCCCGACCTGTTGTATGATATGCATAGGTGAGATTTGACGAAAAATATGTCCGCCGTCAGTCCGCATGTCTGTCCACCAAAACTTTGGTTTGTCATTCTCTCGTGCAGCGCTTAACGTACAAAGCTGAAACTTTGCAGACATCTTTCCATGGTCTGTATCTAATTGTGCCGTGAAAATCAACTCACTTCGTTGTCAAGTGTTGTTTCCATGGCAACCTGACGAACTGAATCTTAAATCCAAGATGGTGGCCAAACGGTTGGATGTAGTACTTTTGACCCACCGATCGAAACTGATCAGTATCTTACACAAGGGAAAATTCCAACATGTCCACAATTTTGTATATTTGGTATATCCAAAAATATACAATTTTGCATATATGGATAGATTGTACCACTGCTTCATTCAGTTTCTTCTTACTTTATACAGGGATTCTTACAATATAGAGATGGTTGAGATGGAAAATAGTACTAATGATACCGGACAGTATTATTGCAAATGTGTTTACTCCAACCTCTCCTATTATTACCTAGGGTAAAAAAAGAGGGCAACCCCTACCAATCCTACCCTGATAGACAACTCCACCCAAACCCAGGATACTCACCCCCTGACGTTTCAAAACAGCTCAGGACACTTTATTAAAGAAAACTATCACCCTCTTTCTACTAGCACAAACTCTGCTATCAGGCTCACTTCTAAACTGTACTTAAATATCTCAACCCCATGCCCTACCACAATCCTGTCTTTATCACGCTCTTTGTCTATCCACAGCATAAAACAATTTCAGAACATCCCAAATAGATTCATCATCATCATCATCACACTGGAGATTAACATGCGCTTTCCGCGTGTAATAAACTACACTTAAGCGTATGTCGCACACGGGGTTTCACTTATACTGTTGGGGGAAAAAGTGTAAGGAATAAGTAATAAGTGCAACCCCCAAAAATATATAAGTTTACAGACCTAATCTAAAAAGGCTATGGAGTTGGGTTCGGCTGGGTGGGAGTGGGAAATAATAAGAAATTGTAATAATATGGAAAGCTTGGGCTTGGGTTGGAGGGGGTGTGGTCAAGCGGTTGAAGGCACTGCGTCGGCTGGCGAGCGTGTGTGGTGGCAGGTCTCTGTTGTTTATTGGAGAGACTTATGTCGTCTGCTACCAAACGGAAGTGCTAAAGCTCTAATAGTAATTCACTAAAATTGAAAACAAAACATTAACCGACACATTAACCGACCGTGTGACCCTTCTACCCAATAGCTGGTGATATCGTCAGCGAACCTCTCTGCATTTCCGTCTTCAGGGGCTTCTTCAAGGATCCGGAACAACACGTCGCTGATGAGATCTACTGGTACCAAGGGCAGAGCTATGGCACGTCGAACAAGCTGGATTATTTCTGGGTTGTCATATGATATGGACAGTTTGTGTTTCAAAGTAACATTTGGAAAAGTTAATCTTAGGGCATTCTGGGTTGCGGCTTCGAAGTCAGTAAACAGACCTGATGGATTGAGATCAGCACCGATGTCAGAAGCACGTTGTTTCACACACCTGAAGAAACGGTGGTATGTTGTCTGTGATTTTTCAGGAAGGAAAGCATAGACCACATCTTGTTGTGGATGAAACGTGTGGATGGGAGGCTGGCCGTTAGCAGCTTGGGGAATTATAAAACATATAAAACAGATTTGGTAACGTTTTGTGGTTATCTGTACATGTCAGTATGCTATTGTCGTTTAGTTTGGATTGTGTGAACACTGTTGCAAACATACATAATATTCCAGAACAGGCTACCCCTGTAGGGCGCCGGTGACTGAAAGCTAGACCAGATAAGAGGTAACGCGTAAGTGTCGTATTTATGGGATGACCAGAGTGGAGAAATGAAAAGCAACGTATAAGAAAATTCAATAGAAAAACATTGGAATATTTATGCTGAAACAGAAAAGTGTACACACATCTGCTTAAATATAGGTTGTGAGAGGTGGTGATATTTCAGGAGTTCTTGCCTGTTTGGAGAAGATTTTGAAAAGAGTTCAATTTAACTATTACCCCCCACAGTAAACGCCTTCTTGGCCTAACTCCTCTTATGGTATTGTTTACTTTCGAATCAAAATTATTATACGAACGGACAGCGTGATATATACTAGCGAGACAAATAATGTAACATGCGAACAAGTATAACATATTTGAATAAGTCCAATAATAACTATTAAAAAAATGTTGTCAATGCTTTGGGAAAGGCCTGTGTAAGTCTATGTCTCCTGACCCCCGGTTCTATCAGACAATGGACAGTCTCGCCACAACACAGCTGCTGCTGAAAGGGGATATACACAATAATACAGTGATGTGGGTCAGCTCACTGACACTTTTTACAGGCACATGTGCCGATCAGTGGCATGAGCCTTCCCCATATGGCTGATTTTACGTCTTCAGTATCGGGTCGTAAGTTAACAATGTCTTTGGCGAGCACCCTGATTTCTCTCTTCCAAAATGGTATGGACAGAATAAAAATTCAGCTGATAGAAACCGCAACATGTTGATTGCACAGCCAGGTGCGAGTGACCGACTGTTTGTCCGATATTCAAAGCGCGGCGCCAATTGACTTGTTAGATTTTCTTATAAGTGTCGTGCGCACTGAGAACAATGCGCTTGAATTACCATAAGTTGAATATATTCTTTAAAAAGATCTTGAGCGTGGATGCTGTCATGCTTGCACACACAACAGCAGGAACATGTTGTAAATGCGTGTGCATAGAAATGTCAACAATACCTATATTTGAGCATGTATCAATTTTCATGCGCAACCAGATTTGCAACCGTTTTCAGTTTCATCTGTCAACGAAAAGAAAGGTTTTTTTTATGTTTTTTCAGTTAAATACATATTTTGACATGGGTAAAAAATAAAATACCACACTCATTCTCGTTAGGTACCATTATTACGAAACTCGTGAACTTTCTATACAGAAAGTCCACAAGTTTCGTAAAAATGGCATGAGTGTAGTATTCTCCATATACAATGGGGGACACCAGAATGGGCCCACATATTGTGTCCTTGTGGGGAATTGAACCTGAGCCTTCGGGCGAATGATTTAACCACCGGGCTATCTCACTGTCCGAATGTCAGTATTGATCTTCAAATATTCAAAATGCTTAGTATGGAAGCAGTAATCAAATAATATCAAGTATCAAATTTCAACAGCATTTCTGTACCTGCAACAATGAATGTCATACGAAATATTGTGTAACATTGCTGCAATACAGAACAGCAAAACTGCATCTCACAAAGTTTCTCTCTGATCCTGTATACGTCTTCTGGTGTATTTCTCGTGCCATACACATTTTTCCATTTTTTAACAAATAAACACATTAACTTTCATAATTCCATAAAAACAATCCCAATATGGTTACAAACATCAACATAAAGCTTTAGAATATTTAAGTCTTCTGCATCTGAAAACAGCTAGAGTCATCTGTGGATGACATGTCACCCCTTCCCCTGGTCCTCATTTCATAGTATGAAATTTATTCAAAATAAAAGTGGGAAAGAGATACAGCTTGTAATTTATAGAGTGACGTCCCGTTTTTCTTTTAAGTCCGAGGCTCTCAAAAGGGATCTCGTTTACAAATGTAGAAATCAATCAGAATTGTTCAAACATGAACGTTTAAAATGAATGTATAAAACAGTGTTTGTGTGAAAAAAGACATGTCAAATTATTCATTCCACAGATTGACCACAACGATGCGACAAATCCGACGTCAGCTGAAGGTGGGATTGATCTGGTCTGTTTTGGTTGCTCTGGGGGTCTTTACAGTGCTTGTCGTGGTTAAACCCACCCAGCCGACCAAGTGGGAAGACAAACACGCACCAAGAAATAGGTCGGGTTTACTGATGACGACAGCCCAGACTCCAGCGCCGGTACATAGGCCTCAAAATCAGTTCCCCAGTCGTTTATATCTTACCCGAGTTAGAATGTATGCGGAAGCTGAGCGGTATCTGAAAAATGTCCCTCACAACACAACTCACCGACAGGAACTGGATATCATGAAAGTGGTGAGAACAACTACTACTACTACTACTATATACTACTACTACATATACTACTACTACTACTACTACTACTACTACTACTACTACATATAATAATATGTGTAGACGGGGCAAGGGCCCTGAACTGATGATGAGCCTAACCAGCCTGACTGCTACTACTACTACTACTACTACTACTACTACTACTACTACTACTACTACTACATATAATAATATGTGTAGAGGGGGTAAGGGCCATGAACTGATGATGAGCCTAACCAGCCTGACTGTGCCAGGATCACCCAAACCATCTTTGCTGCATTTTTTATTTTAATCTGTAAATAATAATAATAACAATATTAATAATAATAATCGTCACTTTAGGCTCACCTATTTTATTCTTTGCAAACTATTTGAGACAATATTAGTCTGGAGGTAAATTTACTGAAGGGGTATTAGCCATCTGTTCACCATTGGTGAATATGGTGAAGAATCTTTTCATATCCCCGGCATATTAGCTTGTGGTAGTAGCAACTTACATTACGAATGCTTACATGTGCACATCATACATATATCATACGTCGTGGATCGTTTCAGTCCAAATGTCTAAATGTTTTAATCATTTGTTGATCTTCATTGTTTTTCAAGCGGATCTATGAACCTGACGCAGAATTTACAAGCCCGTGCCGGTGGGTAGAGCACGTTCCTGAAAATAATTGTCCTGATGCTGAGGCCCCATTGAAGAAAGCCCTTACGTGGAGCAGCCCCGAAAGGGGGAAGATCCTTCGCTGCCTCCCTTACTTCTTCCTGGCAGGAGTGAACAAATGTGGCACCTCGACGCTGTTTTTCAGAATACAGAAACACCCTGACGTTACCCCTCATGCTATAAAAGAGACTAAGTGGATCAATCGACACAGACTATGTACGTTTATATCTGTCCACGGTGAATCAGAGTTTTTTTAGAGCTTTCTGATCAGCAAGCCGGTAATTTTACTCATGTATATAATGCCAATACTATTCACATTTTCTCATGAGAAGGGCAAGCGAGGAGTGCATTTATCAAAGGATTAGAGTCACATAAAAGCTGTGCTTTGATAAATGCACACAAAAATGAAAAACAATCCTCATATTTGCAAACTTTAGCGTTCTTTTGTAGATTTAATCTGCGTCGGGTAAGTGTTGGGTCTAGTAATTATAAATAAGTGGCACCAATGTTCACTGTCATTCTACGCCCTGTCACACATACTTGTTTCTTTGCGCCTCGAACAGAGATACCTTTCAATAAGATGTCAGGGGCGGCCACTTAAGGTCGCATTGATAATCCATTGTTCTTATTTCAGTAAAGTTTATGGAATATGGATTAAATCTTTTAGAAAACGTTCAAAAAAGGTTTCAACTCTGGTCATGAGTTTAGTAAGGCAAACACTAACAATTGGCCAGTGTACATTTAGACAAAACAATCTGATCGTGTAAACTGATACTAGTAACTGGACTTTGGAAGAAAAATGATGATATGCATTTTATATGGCTACACACATTAATCAGTTCCCCAGTTGTGTACAGAATAACCCACTTGTTGCGAAAGACAAAGATAGTTTGAAGTCACACATCAAATGTTTTTTTCTCTTTCCCTTATTTCCAACTGATCGTGTCTTGTGGGGATTGAAAATGACAGTTCACCATGGCGTAGAACACAAAGCCCAATTTTATTTTACTCATGTTTTCGGCCACTAATGTAAGAGGACGTGAGTGAGTGAGCGAGTGCGCGAGTGCGTGAGTGAGTGCGTGCGTGCGTGCGTGCGTGCGTGCGTGCGTGCGTGCGTGCGAGTACGTCGTACACCGCTTTTACAATATTCGAAGAGTAGGGTTCATGAATTGTTGAAAATCTAGCCAGAATGCCATCAGATGGAATGTGTATATGTGCTGAATTCACTTTATGCTGGCTTATATTTCGTGTTTAGCATGCGCAACTCATTAACATGGTAAAATAAATGAATGACACAGGCTGAACTTAACGACAGTGTTGTTGAGTGATAATACACTTTTAAATACTACTTACATTCATATTAACTGTAATGAATATTGTTTGAGTATCAAATTTATGCTGCGTTGAGCCTCAACCGATACCAATAAAATGATTATTTGCACATAGTAGCATCCGTTACCACCCTTTCTTCAAACATTTCATATCACATAGTAGCATCAGTTACCAGACATCCTTAAAACGCTTCATATCGCATAGTAACATCAGTGACCGTACATCCTTCAAACCTTTTATATCACAAGGTAGCAGACCCGTGAAGATTCCGGGGTAGAATAGGTCTTCAGCATCCCAAACTTGCCGTAAAAGGCGACTATGCTTGTCGTAAAAGGCGACTAACGGGATCGGGTGGTCAGGCTCGCTGACTTGGTTGCTACATGTCATCGATCCTAATTGCGTGGATCGATGCTCATGATGTAAATCGCTGGATTGTCTGGCCCAGACTCGATTATTTTACAGACCGCCGTCATAAAGCTGGAATATTGCTGTGTGCGGTGTTAAACAATAACAAACAAACAAACAAACATGGTAGCATCCATTGCAAGACATCCTTCATACATTTCATATCACACAGTAGCATCAGTTACCGGACACCCTGCAAACATTTCATATCACACAGTAGCATCCGTTACGAGACATCGTTTAAACATTTCATATCTCATAGTAGCATCCGTTACCGGACATCCTTTTAACACTTGATATCACACAGTAGCATCAGTTACTATACTTTGTTCAAACCTTTTTATATCACATAGTAGCATCAGTTACTGGACATCCTTTGAATACTTGATATCATGTAGAAGCATCCGTTACCACACACCCTTCAAACATTTCATATCATATAGTAGCATCGGTTACCGGACGTCCTTAAAATATTTTATATCACATAGTAGCATCAGTTACCAGACACCCTTTAAACATTTCAGATCACATAGTAGCATCCGTTACCATACTTTCTACAAACAGTTCATACCACATATCAGCCATTAGCAGACATCCTTCAAACAGTTGATATCACATAGTAGCATCCAATACCAGACAAGTTTCAAAAACATAATATCACATAATAGCATCGTTTTCTACGAATCCTTGAAACATGTAACCTCACGTTGTATTACCAATTACAGGATATCATTCAAATATTAATCTCACATAGTATCAGACATAGTCGTGTGTTTTCTATCAGTGTTTTCTTTCAAATTTCTTTTCTTTCAGTTCCTTTCTGTTCCTCGATAGAGACGTACCTCGATTATCTGCAGCTGACTTCATCTTTTATCCAGAGTAAATACAGGCAAGGTGAAGTTAGTCCGTATGTCATAGGTAATGCCCTTATGTATATATTTTATTTATTTGTGTTATTCACATTTTCTTTGCAGGTAGATCATCAAAATAATTATGTCTATGTGTAGGATATATTAGTATTTGCAGTTTATTGCACCATGGTTTCGATGTACTGTTCACAGGAGATGGAACACCCTCCTATCTATCTACGAACGACTTTTGGGATATGATGCCTGGCAACGAGGGATGCAAGGAACCATGTGTGACAAATGCTGACATCATTCACCATCTGAACCCTCGAGCTAGACTCATCATAATCCTCAGGAACCCAACGACCAGGTGCGTGATGGAGCTCACAGTATGTCATGTGCGTTTCTCATTGGTCCCTTGCAAATTGCTCAGGCCCGAGAAAGGCCAAAATATGCTTCTAATGATACAAACACGGCATGGCTATATACTGTCGTGTTGTTTGGACATAAATAGCAACACATTGAAGACAAAAGTATGCATGTTAGATTAATGCTCTAGGCATGCAGTCCGATATGTTCTTCATAATTTTATCATTTTTCACACTCCACCATGATTTTTAATGAGCTGATGAAAAGTAGCAAATTTCGATGTAATTAATTATAAATACATTGTAAATACAATCAGAATCGTAACATCATCGATTATATGGAACATGTGCGATCATGACAACGGCGGTAAACTAACAACTCCACATGCATAGTGATCCTGTAATACTATTACAATGATTTTGTCTCATCTGACTTATTTTTCTAGAATTATTGACACGGATGTATAAATCTTCGTACAAAAAATGTAATTTTTATAGAGTTTGCAAATGATTTCGATGAACTTTCGGACATTTTGACAAGCCTACAGACATTAGTGACACGTTTCGCGATTTGGTTGGTTGAACAGTCAACAAACATTACGAATAATGAAAAATATTGGATGATACGCAAAATCTGAACTGATATACATTCTAGGTAAACCATTCAACAGCAAAATCATGCAGTTTAAGAACAATAATCAAAATACCTGCAATTTTATCTATCATTTCTGAAACCGGAAGGAAGTACCGCCTGACACACATGATTTGGATAGTTTAATGACTTCATAAAAATGTTACAGCCAATTTTGTCAAATTATGCATTTTCCCTTCAATTTATGCAATTTTGACCCCCTGAAAATTCCTGCACAAACTTGCAAGCTTACTACCCAATGAAAATTGTGTACAGATACCTCCTTTATGCAATAGAAAAGGTTTAAGCTATACAGGAAAATGTGGGAACGAAAATCTAAACTAAGCCTCATTTCCGCTGGTGGCCAACTGACTAGCAGTCCTCACTCCTATTTGTTTCATATTTTTGTCGTGATTGCCGTCGGTGCGTGACATCAAATTTGAAGGAAAAAATCCGGAACCGTAAAGGATTCCACGCTCGATGATTTTTATATTATTTTCTGAAAACAACGGCAGCGGGGAGCGATATAACATATTGATATACCATAATAATAACAACATAACATTGTGATTGGTCTGGCGGATCTTTGTTGATATTAAAATAGCAATAACATATCTGAAGGTCGGTGTATGGTGACATGAATGAAGGGAGATGTATAGAGACATATCTGAAGGGAGATGCACAGAGACAATTCTGAAGGGAGATGTACAGAGACATATCTGAAGGGAGATGTACAGAGACATATCTGAAGGGAGATGTACAGAGACATATCTGAAGGGAGATGTACAGAGACATATCTGAAGGAAGATGTACAGAGACATATCTGAAGGGAGATGTACAGAGACATATCTGAAGGGAGATGTACAGAGACATATCTGAAGGGAGATGTACAGAGACATATCTGAAGGGAGGTGTACAATGACATATCTGAAGGGAGATGTACAGTGACATATCTGAAGGGAGGTGTTTAACGACATATCTGAAGGGAGATGTACAATGACATATCTGAAGGGAGATGTACAGAGACATATCTGAAGGGAGATGTTTAGCGACATATCTGAAGGGAGATGTACAGAGATATATCTGAAGGGAGATGTACAGAGACATATCTGAAGCGAGATGTACAATGACATATCTGAAGGGAGATGTACAGTGACATATCTGAAGGGAGATGTACAGAGACAAATCTGAAGGGAGATGTTTAACGACATATCTGAAGGGAGATGTACAATGACATATCTGAAGGGAGATGTACAGAGACATATCTGAAGGGAGATGTTTAGCGACATATCTGAAGGGAGATGTACAGAGACATATCTGAAGGGAGATGTACAGAGACATATCTGAAGCGAGATGTACAATGACATATCTGAAGGGAGATGTACAGAGACATATCTGAAGGGAGATGTACAGAGACATATCTGAAGGGAGATGTACAGAGACATATCTGAAGGGGGATGTACAGAGACATATCTGAAGGGAGATGTACAGAGACATATCTGAAGGGAGATGTACAATGACATATCTGAAGGGAGATGTACAGAGACATATCTGAAGGGAGATGTACAGAGACATATCTGAAGGGAGATGTACAGAGACATATCTGAAGGAAGATGTACAGAGACATATCTGAAGGGGGATGTACAGAGACATATCTGAAGGGAGATGTACAGAGACATATCTGAAGGGAGATGTACAGAGACATATCTGAAGGGAGATGTACAGAGACATATCTGAAGCGAGATGTACAGAGACATATCTGAAGGGAGATGTTTAACGACATATCTGAAGGAGATGTACAGAGACATATCTGAAGGGAGATGTACAGAGACATATCTGAAGGGAGATGTACAGAGACATATCTGAAGGGAGATGTACAGAGACAAATCTGAAGGGAGATGTTTAACGACATATCTGAAGGGAGATGTACAATGACATATCTGAAGGGAGATGTACAGAGACATATCTGAAGGGAGATGTACAGAGACATATCTGAAGGGAGATGTTTAGCAACATATCTGAAGGGAGATGTTTAGCAACATATCTGAAGGGAGATGTATAGCGACATATCTGAAGGGAGATGTACAGAGACATATCTGAAGGGAGATGTACAATGACATATCTGAAGGGAGATGTACAGAGACATATCTGAAGGGAGATGTACAATGACATATCTGAAGGGAGATGTACAGAGACATATCTGAAGGGAGATGTACAATGACATATCTGAAGGGAGATGTACAGAGACATATCTGAAGGGAGATGTACAGAGACACATCTGAAGGGAGATGTACAGAGACATATCTGAAGGGGGATGTACAGAGACATATCTGAAGGGGGATGTACAGAGACATATCTGAAGGGAGATGTACAGAGACATATCTGAAGGGAGACGTACAGAGACATATCTGAAGGGGGATGTACAGAGACATATCTGAAGGGGGATGTACAGAGACATATCTGAAGGGAGATGTACAGAGACATATCTGAAGGGAGATGTACAGCAACATATCTGAAGGGAGATGTACAGAGACATATCTGAAGGAAGATGTACAGAGACATATCTGAAGAGAGATGTACAGCGACATATCTGAAGGGAGATGTACAGAGACATATCTGAAGGGAGATGTACTGAGACATATCTGAAGGGAGATGTGTAGTGACATATTTGAAGGGAGATGTACAGAGACATATCTGAAGGGAGATGTTGAGAGACATATCTGAAGGGAGATGTTCAGAGACATATCTGAAGGGAGATGTACAGCAACATATCTGAAGGGAGATGTACAGAGACATATCTGATGGAGATGTTTAGCGACATATCTGAAGGGAGATGTACAGAGACATATCTGAAGGGAGATGTACAGAGACTTATCTGAAGGGAGATGTTTAACGACATATCTGAAGGGAGATGTACAGAGACATATCTGAAGGGAGATGTACAGAGACATATCTGAAGGGAGATGTTTAACGACATATCTGAAGGGAGATGTACAGAGACATATCTGAAGGGAGATGTACAGAGACATATCTGAAGGGAGATGTTCAGAGACATATCTGAAGGGAGATGTACAGCAACATATCTGAAGGGAGATGTACAGAGACATATCTGAAGGGAGATGTATAGAGACATATCTGAAGGAGATGTACAGAGACATATCTGAAGAGAGATGTACAGCGACATATCTGAAGGGAGATGTACAGAGACTTATCTGAAGGGAGATGTACAATGACATATCTGAAGGGAGATGTACAGAGACATATCTGAAGGGAGATGTACAGAGACATATCTGAAGGGAGATGTTGAGAGACATATCTGAAGGGAGATGTTCAGAGACATATCTGAAGGGAGATGTACAGCAACATATCTGAAGGGAGATGTACAGAGACATATCTGAAGGGAGATGTATAGAGACATATCTGAAGGAGATGTACAGAGACATATCTGAAGGGAGATGTACAGAGACATATCTGAAGGGAGATGTACAGAGACATATCTGAAGGGAGATGTTGAGAGACATATCTGAAGGGAGATGTTCAGAGACATATCTGAAGGGAGATGTACAGCAACATATCTGATGGGAGATGTACAGAGACATATAAGGAGATGTTTAGCGACATATCTGAAGGGAGATGTACAGAGACATATCTGAAGGGAGATGTACAGAGACTTATCTGAAGGGAGATGTACAGCGACATATCGGAAGGGAGATGTACAGAGACATATCGGAAGGGAGGTGTACAATGACATATCTGAAGAGAGATGTACAGAGACATATCTGAAGGGAGATGTACAGAGACATATCTGAAGGGAGGTGTATAGAGACATAACTGAAGGGAGATGTACAGAGACATATCTGAAGGAGATGTTTAGCGACATATCTGAAGGGAGATGTACAATGACATATCTGAAGGGAGATGTACAGAGACATATCTGAAGGGAGTTGTTTAACGACATATCTGAAGCGAGATGTACAGAGACATATCTGAAGGGAGATGTACAGAGACATATCTGAAGGGAGATGTACAGAGACATATCTGAAGGGAGATGTACAATGACATATCTGAAGGGAGATGTACAGAGACATATCTGAAGGGAGATGTTTAACGACATATCTGAAGCGAGATGTACAGAGACATATCGGAAGGGAGATGTACAGAGACATATCGGAAGGGAGATGTATAACGACATATCTGAAGGGAGATGTACAGAGACATATCTGAAGGGAGGTGTACAATGACATATCTGAAGGGAGATGTACAGAGACATATCTTAAGGGAGGTGTATAGAGACATAACTGAAGGGAGATGTACAATGACATATCTGAAGGGAGATGTGTAGAGACATATCTGAAGGGAGATGTACAGAGA